CTGGGGCTGGAGAGATGGCTCAGTAGTTAAGAGCACTGACTGCTCTTACAGAAGACGTAGGTTCAATTCCCAGCACCACATGGCAGCTAAACTGTCCATAACTCCAGTAACAGGGGAACCTGATGCCCTCTTCTGACCTCTGAGGGCTTTGCATGACATGGGTGAACTTACACACATGCAAGCAGTACACTCATACACATAAAATAAATAAATATTAAAGAAAGAACACTTACTTTAAGAATGAAGTACAAAAGATTAATGAACAAATGGTATTGAAATAAAAGCACTGGTTTGCTATTTTGGAAAGATAAATTCCAAATGGATTAAATACCTAAATATAACATAATGTTTATTATCTTGTCATATTTCCTTTTAAAGCTTTAATAACTGGAAGAGAAAATGAAAATGTTAAAATTTGATTCTTATTGGTTTTTTTGAAATAGGGTCTCACTATGTAGTCCTGGCTGGCCTGGAAGTCACAGTGCAATCCACCTGCCTCTGCCTCATGCATGCTGGGATTAAAGGCCACTATGTCTGACCCTGTCTGTTTGATATGTTAAAAACATATATATTTGGGGCTGGAGAGATGGCTCAGTGGTTAAGAGCACTGACTGCTCTTGCAGAGGACCAGGGTTCAATTCCCAGCACCCACATGGTGGCTACAAACCATCCTTAACTCCAGTTCCAGGGGAATCCAAAGCCCTCTTCTGACCTCCACGGCATTGCATGTTTTATTTTATGTGTATAAGTATTTTGCTTGCATGTATAAAAGTGTACCCATGTCATACAATGCCCTCAGAGACCAGAAGAGGGCATTGTGTGGACAGTTGTTAGCTGTCATCAGGGTGCTAGGAACTGAACCAGATCCTTTGCAAAAGCAGCCAGTGCTCCTAACCACTAAGTAATCTCTCCAGCCCCTTTGCTTGATTCTGAATAGAGAACTTCCTAAACTTAACTGCAGTGGAAGAAATAAGGGAAAACAGTTATAATGATTATTTAAGGCATTAGCATATAAAAAATAAAACAAGAAAAAGTATTTGCTAGACATGTGATAAGCTTCTCAAAAAGTACTAAGATTCTAAGGCTGGATGTGGTGGCACATGCCTTTAATCCTAGCACCTAGGAGGCAGAGGCAGGCAGATTTCTGTGAGGTCAGCCTGGTCTACATAATGAGTTCCAGCCAGCTAGGGCAACACAGTGAAAACTTTGTTTCTAAAAAAAAAAAAAATCAAACCGGGGCTGGAAGGATGGCTCAGCGGTTAAGAGAACTGACTGCTCTTGCAGAGAACCTGGGTTCAATTCCCAGCTCCCACATGGCAACTACGAACCATCCTTAACTCCAGTTCCAGGGGAATCAGAAGCCCAATTCTGACCTCTGCAGCATTGCACAACACAGGTGTACTCACATATATGCAGGTAATACACTCATATACATGAAATAAAAATAATAAATACAACATTTAAAAATAAAATAAATCAAACCCCCCAATTAACTTTCCCTGTAGCCATGTTAGTTATAATAATGGCCTGCTGATTTTATAAAAATAGCATACCATTTTTTCTATCAGATTATCAGACATTTTAAAGTAGCCTTAACTGTTGGCAAGGGGTTGCAAAAGGGATCCTTTCATATGTTGCTGGTAGAAATATGAAAACGATCCATGACAGTTTTACAGAAGAATTTGACAATATAAATTAAGAGTTCTAAAAATATACTTTTTGATTTCTCGTAATTCTCATTTTAGAAATCTACCAAGGTGAAAAAAAATCAGAAATGAACTAAAAGAAATCTTAAGTTTGAGGCTAGCTGGGTTTACATAGCAAGTTTCAGGCCAGCCAGAGCAATACAAGAAGACCCTATCTCAAAATGAAACAAAGCAAAACAAATGTAATTCAAGATTATGTATAAAACCACAAAAGTCAAGCAGAAAGCAACTTCTAAAATTTTAGAAATGATTTTTTAAAATTATATGGAATACCATAACATCATTTAAAATGTTTATGAGAAGTTCTCAGGGTCAGCAAGATGGCACTTGCCAACAAACCTGAAGTCTTGAGTTCAATCCCTGGGATCCACATGGTGGAAAGAGAGAACCAACTCCTACAAATTGTCCGAAAGTTGTCCTTTGACCTCCCCATATGGCATGGCACGTGTGTGCCCAGGCATGCATGCATACACACACACACACACACACTATAT